CTGGGACATCGGCGGCCGTCACTGGCTGCACACGTTCCACGGCCGGCGGTATGACTGAGGGTGCTGTGGCGGCCTTAGAAACCTGTGGCAGGAACTTCAGATCTGGGGACCCAGAGCAGGGGTGTAGGTGGGTGCTCAGCCAGCTCCGGGCCTGAAAGTCTGCCCCAGCCCCAGCCTGAGGAGATCTGATTCCCAGACTGACCCTCAGGTGCAGGGGGCATGGCACTCAGGTCCACAGGCTGCCCCTTCTCCAGGGCCTCCAGGACAGCACCAAATCTCTGCAGTAGTCAGAAAAGCAGAAGGGAGTGAGCCAGGGAATCCCAAGAGCCTTCCTGAAACAGCCCCCACCCCCACCCCGTCAGTCTCAAGCCCAGTCCCTAAGCTTCAGTTTAGGGACACAGGGCCTCTGAGCCAGATACTCTACCTTCCCAATCCTCATGAGCTCTCGGGCACGGTCTAGATCTCCAGCCCGCTTGGCACTGAGGGCAGCCACCTTGTACTCTCTCTGTCGGGCTGACAATAGGGCCCGTGGGTCTGGGTCCGCATCAGGTGGGGCTGAAATGGCAGGGCTGCCTGGGAGGCTTGTCTCAGGTTGGGGGGGGTTCTCTACAGGGGAAGAAGAAGTCCCAGACAGGGCATGAGGCTCAAAGAAGAAGGTGCCAGCTTTGGGTTTCCAATGCCTGTGAGTCTCATCGGCCCGAGGGCCTTTTGGGGAAAGTGCGAGTGGTGGCAATGGACAGTTGCAGGTGGGGGTAGCAGGCTGTGGGCCCTGACCCTGGGAGCTAGGGTAGGCTTGGGGGTGCTCCAGATACCTTGCTCCATGGCAGGGGGAGCTGCAACTTCTGCCTCTGGGCTCCTGTTGGCTGTTTCCTGGGGGGCTGGGGGCCTCTTGCCCAAGGCCACTGGAGGTGGTATCTCATCCTCATTGATCTTTCTACCTTTCCTCACAGCAGCGAGCTGGGACTCGAGGGTCTGAGGGAGAGAATTAGTCCAGAATCCTAGCCAGCTAGGTTAGCCTGGACCCTGCTCGAGGACAGCCCAGGGACCCACAGTTTCTATAAGGCTAGTGCGGAGGTGCCCCCAGCCCTGCTCACCTTCAAGCCACGTTCACAGCGCCTGGCCTTGGCCGCTTCCCCCGCCTCCTTGGCGGTGGCCACAGCCTCCTGGTAGTTGCGGATCCGCTCCTCCAGCAGAGCCTGCAGCCCCCGAGGCCCTCCAGCCTGTAGATACTTCACTCAGGGCCTGGCCACGCCAGGGCCAGCTAGGCCCTTGCCATTCTCTCCCTGTGAGGAAGCTGCCCCAGAAGATGGAGAGGTCTCTCTGGGACTCCAGGAGAAAGAGGAGACTCACAGCCAGAAGTGGGAGGCACAGGCTCACTGGAAAGGCCAGAGGCAATACAGAGGCCCAGACAACTGGTGGAGGCTAGAAAATGGCTGGGGGGTGGGGGTGTGATCTGGGAGAACAGAGAGGCCTTTGAAGGTGGCCAGCCACAGAAGAATTTCTTGTGCTCAGTTTCTGCGTGGGGCAGCTCCTGGCAGGGGGTCCTGAATGGTTACTGCAGCCTTGCTACGTAAGCCACACCAGGTACGTGCTATGAACTGGGGACCTGAGGTAGCCCAAGAATCAGATTTGTCCACAAGGGAGGGTGGCAGTCCAGGGAAAGGAGCATCAAAGGTACATGGGTCCCCTCCTCCAGAACCTACCTGCATGCCGGGGGCTGGAGTTGTGAGAAGGGCTGCCTGCACTGGTGCGTCCATGCTTTCCTGCCCCTTCTCCTCCTTGGAGACGTCTGGGTTAGCTGCCTCCTCATCATCCAAGGACTCAGCCTCCTCCTCCTCCTCACCCAGGACCTCCTGCAGCTCAGTCTGGGGGGACACAAGTCCCAGGAGCTTGGGGTCTTCAGGGCCATACCCACAATAGGGCCTGAGAACAAAAGGCCCTCCCCCAGTAATACTCCCTGGTGTCAGCTGGTGTGCCTCCAAGTCTCCTTTACCAAAACATTTCTTTACTCTGACTGAGGGTGGCTTCACAAACTGCAGAATTCAAATCTGAGAACACCCAACTGCAGAACTCAGATCAGATGTCAAAGGAGACAAGTCTTACCCTACGGTCAAGAGGACAGACCCAGGGAGGATGAGGCACTCACTCTACATCAGCGAACACAGGCACAGACCCCGGGCCTGCTGCCCACAGCCCTCTCCACCAGGCTGGAGCTTGACCGCTAAGCCCTTGCACACCAGCCTGGCAGACGCACCAGCAGGTCCGCATCCTCCTCCAGCCCTTCCTCATCTTCCTCCTCCTCCTCCACATCCCGCATACAGTCTGCAGCCAACTTCTCGATGTGAGCCATGGGCAGCGGGGCTGGGGGGAAGAGGGTCACAGGGCCAGGTAAGTTTCAGGATGAGAAATGAGAGGCTTCAATCCACTGCATTGGTAGGCACACCCAGGCAGAAACCCCTCTTCCTTCCCATGGCAAAGTCCCACCTGCAAACCGCCCTTCGAAACCTTCCTGGGCCCTCCAGCGAGAATTAATACTGCCTACAGAATAAATTCACAGACATAGCCATCCATTTCCCCAACCACACTTCTCACATCTGTCAAGATTGCTCAACAATTCTGCAAGATGGGTAATGTTATCCCCATTTTATTAGGTCATCGGAAAAGTCATGACATTTTTCTATGCAAAAATGTGTCATGACTTTCCCAGAACTGCCAATATTAATTTTCCTACCATTGCAATCCTAGTAAGTGGCAGGGTCAGGATTCAAACTCAGATTTGTCTAATCCCAAAATAAAGCTACCCGAGCGAGCCCTTTCCAGGTCCTCCCGTTGTCCTTAGTTTAGGGGTACATGAGATAGGGGTGATTTTCTCGGTGGTTGCAAGTGAAAAGAGTGGAAGATTTAGACTTCCTGACCTTCCCCCAGGCCGAAGGTCTCTGTCCTCAACCAGGCTGTGGAGGGAGATTCCACTTACGGATTTGACACAATTTCTGTGCACTTGCTACGTAGCATGCTAACTGGGTCCTGACTTTATACCAAGCCCCGGCTAGGGGTACGGATGGGGACCTGAGCTAGTCTACCAGGTTTGTCCACAATGGAGGGTGGCAGCGCAGGGAGGGAAGGAGCTCTCATCACACAGGTGGGTAAAGAGGTGGAGATGACCTCTGGACGAGAGTGGCGCAGGGGGGTAACCAGCAGTTGGCGTAATGGCTATGTCGCTGGACTCCCACGTAGTCAACTGCAGTTCGAGTCCCAGACCCAGTGGCTTAAACTCACGCTGGGCGCGTGTGCATGTGTGCCCAAGATCCCGAGAGGAGAAGGGAGGAGAAGGGATTGCGGCGTGGCCATCCCCCCTGGGGGGTGATTTCCTGCTTTCTGTCTCTCTGTCTCTCTCTGTCTGTCTGGCGAGCACATGCGCCCTATAGCAAAAAAAACCTCTCAAAAAAAAAAAAAGAGTGGCCCAGGGGACCTGGATGGCTCCTCTCAGCTGCAAGGTGAGGACCCTCTCTTCTATCAGCCTGCAGCCATCTGGTCCCAGCCCAGTGTCACCAACTCACCCCGCCCCTTGGGTGCTGGCTTCCTGCCTGTGCTTCCTGCTTCCCCGGTGAGGGCCAGCAGCTCAGCCTCCAGGTCGCCATCATCTTCAGTCTCATCCACTCCCAGCAGCATGTCCTCGGGGCTGAGCTCCACAAAGAGCCCCAGCTGAGAGAAGAGGAGGATTCTTAGGAACCACAAAACAGGCAGGTGGAGCCCCAGCCCAGAACCAAACTGAGGACTCCCCATGTCCCAGTGAGTGGCCCCTTGATGCTCTGAGGTCCAGTGTGCAGACGGGGAAACAGGCCTCGACATTACCCCCGCACAAACAGGGACTCTGTGAAGAACCCAGGAAGACTACGTCACCATCATTACTACTAACAGCAGAGACTGCTGCCAGGTACCAGATTTTCCTAACGATTCTCACAATCCCGAGAGGCAATCAGGTCCTATTTTTTAAATGCAGTAAAATACATGTAACATGAAAATCCCAGCTGAACTATTTTTAAGAGCAGAGTTCAGTGGCATCGAGTAAAAACTCACACTACCACTCCAGTCACCATCATCCCTCCACAGAACTCTTCATGTTGCAAATCGTACAACTCAGAACCCATTAAACACTGCTCCCAACCTCCCCTCCCCAGCCCTGGTGACCACCATTCTGCTTCTGGCTCCATGAATTTGATTACTCCAGGTATAGGGATACGCAGGTACTATTTTTATCCCAATGTTCATATGAAACTGAGACAGACGTGTAAGTGACAGAGCCAGAATTTAAAATAAGGTCCTTGTGACTTGAGTCTATGCCCTTTACCCTACCACTTCCCTCTACTTGCCTCTTTTAAAATGGTACTTAAAAAAAAAAAAAAAAAAAAAAGAAAAAACTCAGATGTCTCGGGAGTTGGGCCCAGAAGAAATAAAGAGCAAACATTAGGCCCCTCCCCTCCCCCAGTCTCCCAGCTGGGCCATGGCCCTCTGTCCCTAAGCAGGAGAGTCCCACTGGCTATAGCCTAAAGCCCTGGCAGCCCTGGCTGACAAGTCAAATTGTGGCCCTAAACGGGGAACCCATGAAAGCACTGAGATTCCATCAGAGCACCCTAACTTTGGTGGTTCCTGACCCCTCCAGATCACTCACATGGAGTGGTCAAGGCAGAAGGAGGTTAGGGTTGAAACCCAGGACAGAAGTCCAGATCTCCCCCTACATGTACGTGGCAGGGGCTAGTCAGAGGGTCTCTAAGGGCTGCCATCTCCAGGGGGCATTGCTTAAAGTCTCTGGTCTAATGGAGAAACCGCACAGGTGACTTCACTGGCCCAAGCTGTCTAAAGACCCCCACCCCAAATTGGCCACGGTGTAGAAGGCTATGCCCATACCTGTTTGGCAGCTGCCACACCCTGTCCACTGGCCTGAGGGCCCTTCCGGGGTCTTGGCCCTGGCATCTTGGCAGTCTAGATATGTATCTGGTAGGGAGATGAAGAGACTCAGACTGGAGTAGCCCATGCGCCTTGCCCCCAACAGAACTACCTGTGGCAAGGTATGGTTAGTAACTACCCAAAGAAGGCCATGCTTAACAACGAAGGCTGGAACACTCATGCTGGAATTATAGGGCTGCAGCAAGCAACATGCAGGATGGAAGGGATGGGGACTGCCTTGCTCTAACAAGGAGGGTCGTCACACACTGTGGGTACCGATCTGAGGAATCTGGAAGGCAGATTCAGAGAAGCAACCAGGTAAGGCTGCACACAAGACTGGGTAAGACTCAGGAAGCCTCCGAAACAGCACTGTCCATTATGGAAGCTGCATGGCTATTTAGGTTTAAATTTAGTTAAGACTAAATACAATTTGGGCCAGCAGGTGGTGTGGTGGTTAAGGCGCTGGATCCCACATGGCAGACTACTCAGTTCAAGTCCTGGACCCGGCAGCTTGAAAATCACCCCAGGCATGTGTGTGTGTGTGTGTGTGTTTGTGTGTGTGCACGTGGCCAGAATCCCAAAGAGAATTGAGAAGGGACTGCAGTGTGGCCATCCCACCGGGGTGTGATTTTTCACTTTCCCTTTCTCTGTCTCTCCGGCAAGTGTATGCACCCTATGACAAGAATCTGAAAACAAAACACTATATAGAATCCTGTTCCTCAGACACACTTCAAGTGCTCAGTATCCTGTGGCACTCACACTGGACAGCAGAGATACAGAACTTTTCCGTCACTGAGGCAAGTTCCATGGATAGCTCTGCTCAAGAGAAACCTGACTCAGCATTCGGATTCTCTCCTTGACCTCACAGCTGTTCATAAGACCTACCTACTATGTGTCAGATCCTGTGTTAAAGCACCAGAAAGGCAGGAAAGGATCCACAGGGCCCTGGCACTCAAGAACATTTACCTGGTGGGAACAGACTGGTGAGCAGTCACTACAGTGTTGCTACGTGGACTGTGGGTGACCAGAGGGGGCCCCAGACCAAGCACTGGCAGAAAAGGCTTCTTGGAGCAGGAGCTCCGTGCTGAGTCCAGTCATGGAGCTGGGGGAAGCAAGGAGCACAGGAATCCAAGCAGAGCCAATAGATACGCGTTCCGAGGTGAGACACAGCTCGGCCTGCACAAGGAAACTAAAGGTGTGGATTTTCTGGGGCAGAAACTGAAGCCAGCAAGAGTTCAAGCCGAGATGGAAACGCGAGCAAGCGGCAGAGCAGACAAACCTTTCGGCCTAAAGGAGTCCGGGCATTACTCAGGACAGTGGGGAGAGAGGCCCGGGGCCGGGTGGGCGTCTGGGAAACATCACCGGCTGCAGAGGGGAAGGTGCAGGGAAGTGGGAGGGAGAAGCAGGCATCTCGCCGCAGTAGGCGAGGAGCAAGCTGATGCAGGGGGCGGCGGCGCGGTCGGAGGGAAGTGGGCGGACTCCGGAGCGAGGCGGCGACACCCACAGGGCTCCGAGGTGCAGCGGCGGGGGCGCTCCGGGTAACTCAAGTGTCAGATTGGGGCTGAGTGGCGGGGCGTCAACTGAAGCAGTATCGGGAGTGGCCGGGCTCCGGGAGGGCACAAGCTTGGACAACCCCGGGTGTGTGCGGCTCGGGTGCGGGGCCCA